ATTTTCTTTGCTGTAGATTTGAAATTATTTCGCATTACATATTATCACTAACTCTTGATGCACATGTAGTCCGATGTGACGCCTAGCACAAGTAGGAGACAAAGGAACAACAATCATAATACGGTTGATGGCAGTTTGAACTATCAGTCACCTCAACAATATTCGATGTTGACCCCAATTTTGTATTTGCCCAATTCTATGCCGAAAACATTCTCACTTCCACAACTGTCGAAGACGAATTTTATCCCTTCGACCACGAGAAATGAAATATACAATGTGGAAGGTACGTACCTATGTTAAACTTATGAAATTAATTTTTTTTCATGAATGCATCATTAACAATTTCATTTGATATTCCATTGTAGCTCAACAGTTGCCGTAATACTACCAAAACTTATTTGACGAAGGCAGACAATGATGATTGAAATGTTGGGTTGCATGAAAAATGAGTGACTGTGGTTGTAGATTCTATCATTGCAGTTATAATTATTCTCCAAATTTCTTAATTCACCGTTATGTATAGCTTATGTGTTGGTTGAGTAGTAATAGATTTGACTGATGATATCTATTTTTGAGTGAGTTGTGTTCCTAATGAATTATAAGTTCTCTTTATTTTGTTTGTTGGAGATACATTCAATATTGTTGTGTGTGCTGTTAAAGATTGAGTAAAATGCTTAGTGAAGCTACCAGTTCGATATGGGTATGTGCTTAACATTATGTCCCAATACACCTGCTTTCTGTACTTAGCAGCATCCTTCATGGAGTGTCCAAGTACTAATATCATTCATTGAGAGATCCAGGGTACTAGTTATTTTTTTTTTTATCAATTTAGTTTTATTATCCCAAGTAGGCAGATTCTAATAAACAGACTTTCCATGCTTTTAAAGAGCAATTTTTTACTTGTGGGTAAATGAGCAAGTTCACTTGAGAGTAAATTTACTTGTGAGTAAATGAGTAAGTTATGGAATAAATTATTTCTATCTGTAATGTTAAAAGGTTTTCTTTGGCTTTGTAATGAAAAATAAAACAAGTTATCGCATACAAATCATGGGATCGTGAACTAGGCACTTAATTATGTACCCAGTATTAGAACCCTAAGTAATCATTTTATCTGCCCTACTTTGCATCTTTTAAGTTCAAATTTTAGCAAAAACTGGGACTTGCCTCACATTTTTTGATGTGGATAATTTAAACAAAAGAAGTTGAGGGCTTTCAAACAACCTCCTGGGAGTAGAAGAATACACAGATATTTCTTTCTATTCAAGCTCTAGAACTTGCCTCACAACACCAACTAATTATAGGTTAAAAATAACAAATGGCATCAAACAACTATAAAAAAGAACTTCACTATAGATGGGATAACTAGAATAGCAATCAGTTAGCTTGGTCACCATGAAACTCGGGTGAGTAAAATTGTCCTGCACAAAGCTTTGAACAAGAGAAATGTATTTTAACACTGTCTAACTAAATTAAAATGCCAAAACAAGTTTACACAACAATATGACACAAAAGATGTAATTACCTAAATCCCAATGTAATAACAGTCCTCACGCTAACCCCTTTCCTTTTGCATTTCCTTCCGCGCCACTATTCACCTTGCTAATTGTCACAGCCATCAAATTTCATATTTCTTCTTCGTCATTGAGGCGAACTCAAGAGTGGAACATGCCTTCCACATCTTCAACTGTTTCGTTCGTCGCCAGGCTAACTGAAGAAGTGCTAACGGTAGAGGATTGACCACTTGATGATTCTTCTTTAACAACCCAATTCTAAAATCCACAATTGGCATTGCAACAAAGAAATAATCACCCTTTGTTCACCGTCTCTTTCTCTACCACGAAATAATTCTTGAAGCCATGCTTGCATAATGGGCATCGACATTTCCTTGGACATTCAGTAAAGGAGTGGCCCTTAGCTCTACAACTGTGACAAGTTCCTATATTTCGTCCGTCCATTCTATGAGGGAAATAAACCATGGACTAGGGTTAGCATGAAATGTTAGTGAACAAGAAACTAGGTTACCCTTTCAGAGACAAAGAAATTCCTTACGTACATAGAACTACGTCAAGAAGTTGCACAAGCTGCCCACAATTGACAGAACCCACAAGCCTGTCACAACCTGATAAACAAAATTGAATCTCTTTAATGGCAATATATTATATCAACTAGCATTAGAAGTAGAGAAGAAACAGAAGAGGGAAATGCTTTCCCGTCAAGAAAAGAATCAACACAATTTGGCTTCAACAAAAGACATGATGAGATCAAGAAAAGAGAATCAAATAAAACTCGTCTATCACAAATTTTTAATAAATTGCAAGGAACTTTGGAGTTACAAAAATTAAGTAAAACATCATTTAAATATATTTCAGGTCATAAAAACTAAGTCAAAATTTTCAAATTTGGTTGAAGTAATAAGGTTAGATTTCAAATCAAGATTAGAATTTAAGCGAAAACTCAAATAAATAATGTGACACAATGCAACCGAGGAACAATATGTAACCCATCAGCATCATAATCATAGAAAGTAGTTAGTAGAACAAATTTTAAAAATGAGAATTGAGATAGAATAAGTTAAGAAATTGTAAAAATGAGAACAAATTATGATAAAGTTGTAGCAATTGACTTTCCATAGAAGAATAAAAATGACTATACCAATTTTAGGACCATGTAAACATCCCACCAAGTCAATATCCTTTATCCATGGATCAAGTGATGAAAGATGTACCTGGCTGAACATTGCTCTTCTAGAAACAAAATGCTAGATGTGATCTAATACTTGGCGAGTGCTTCGCCACAGATTTCGTTAAGAATTTGTAACATCCTCGCTATATGTTTGCCTAAATCCACATCCTATGACGAAGTACATACAACTTTAAAAAAATGGAAAACATTTAGGGCTCAATGTAACAGAAAAATGAAAAAAATCGAGAACCCATTAAGGTAAGAGTCTCGAACCTGATCAGTTGCATAGCCCCACTGTATATTTTTGTCTATAGAAAACTATGACTACAACGATGCGGCCGGAGATGAAACGAGAGGTGGTGAAACCAAGGGTGGAAGTGTGGTCCAAGTTTTCGATCACTGAAAAAGTCGACGAAATTGCTGTCGGAGCAATGCGACACCTTCGATTGCAGTGCTACTAGAAATGGTGAGGTGCCGATAGAGTATCAACTCCGAATTACGATTTTGGGAGATATGTAAGGTGTGGGTGTAGAGAGATTTGGGGGAGAAAGGCTACATTTTTCTTTTGCAATAGTATAGGTTTTCTTTCTTTCTTTTTTCCTTTTGTGTTTTTTAATGTACCACATCAGCCTGGACTTTACCCTATTTTCTACCCAGTCTATGTAGCGAAATTATTATAAAAAAGAAAGTACTTCAATCAACGTGAGATGAGAGGGATAGTGATGACC